ACTGAGACTCTGAGACACTGAGACACTGAGACACTGAGACTCTGAGACACTGAGACTCTGAGACACTGAGACTCTGAGACACTGAGACACTGAGACACTGAGACACTGAGACACTGAGACACTTAGACACTGAGACTCTGAGACACTGAGACTCTGAGACACTGAGACCTGGTCTCTACTCTAGACACTGAGACACTGAGACCTGGTCTCTACTCTAGACTCTGAGACACTGAGACCTGGTCTCTACTCTAGACTCTGAGACACTGAGACCTGGTCTCTACTCTAGACACTGAGACACTGAGACCTTGAGACACTGAGACCCTGAGACACTGAGACACTGAGACTCTGAGACACTGAGACACTGAGACTCTGAGACACTGAGACACTGTCTCTACTCTAGACACTGAGACACTGAGACCTGGTCTCTACTCTAGACACTGAGACACTGAGACCTTGAGACACTGAGACCCTGAGACACTGAGACTCTGAGACACTGAGACACTGAGACTGAGACACTGAGACCTGGTCTCTACTCTAGACACTCAGACACTGAGACCTTGAGACACTGAGACCCTGAGACACTGAGACTCTGAGACACTGAGACACTGAGACTCTGAGACACTGAGACCTGGTCTGTACTCTAGACACTGAGACACTGAGACCTGGTCTCTACTCTAGACACTGAGACCTGGTCTCTACTCTAGACACTGACCCTGAGAGCCGGTCTCTACTCTAGACACTGAGACACTGAGACCAGGTCTCTACTCTAGACTCTGAGACACTGAGACACTGAGACTTTGAGACACTGAGACTCTGAGACACTGAGACACTGAGACACTGAGACTCTGAGACACTGAGACTCTGAGACACTGAGACTCTGAGACACTGAGACACTGAGACACTGAGACTCTGAGACACTGAGACCTGGTCTCTACTCTAGACACTGAGACACTGAGACCTGGTCTCTACTCTAGACACTGACCCTGAGAGCCGGTCTCTACTCTAGACACTGAGACACTGAGACCAGGTCTCTACTCTAGACTCTGAGACACTGAGACACTGAGACTTTGAGACACTGAGACACTGAGACACTGAGACACTGAGACTCTGAGACACTGAGACTCTGAGACACTGAGACTCTGAGACACTGAGACACTGAGACACTGAGACACTGAGACACTGAGACTCTGAGACACTGAGACTCTGAGACACTGAGACCTGGTCTCTACTCTAGACACTGAGACACTGAGACCTGGTCTCTACTCTAGACACTGAGACCTGGTCTCTACTCTAGACACTGACCCTGAGAGCCGGTCTCTACTCTAGACACTGAGACACTGAGACCAGGTCTCTACTCTAGACTCTGAGACACTGAGACACTGAGACTTTGAGACACTGAGACTCTGAGACACTGAGACACTGAGACACTGAGACTCTGAGACACTGAGACTCTGAGACACTGAGACTCTGAGACACTGAGACACTGAGACACTGAGACACTTAGACACTGAGACTCTGAGACACTGAGACTCTGAGACACTGAGACCTGGTCTCTACTCTAGACACTGAGACACTGAGACCTGGTCTCTACTCTAGACTCTGAGACACTGAGACCTGGTCTCTACTCTAGACTCTGAGACACTGAGACCTGGTCTCTACTCTAGACACTGAGACACTGAGACCTTGAGACACTGAGACCCTGAGACACTGAGACACTGAGACTCTGAGACACTGAGACACTGAGACTCTGAGACACTGAGACACTGTCTCTACTCTAGACACTGAGACACTGAGACCTGGTCTCTACTCTAGACACTGAGACACTGAGACCTTGAGACACTGAGACCCTGAGACACTGAGACTCTGAGACACTGAGACACTGAGACTGAGACACTGAGACCTGGTCTCTACTCTAGACACTCAGACACTGAGACCTTGAGACACTGAGACCCTGAGACACTGAGACTCTGAGACACTGAGACACTGAGACTCTGAGACACTGAGACCTGGTCTCTACTCTAGACACTCAGACACTGAGACCCGGTCTCTACTCTAGACACTGAGACACTGAGACACTGAGACCCTGAGACACTGAGACTCTGAGACACTGAGACACTGTCTCTACTCTAGACACTGAGACACTGAGACCTGGTCTCTACTCTAGACACTGAGACACTGAGACCTTGAGACACTGAGACCCTGAGACACTGAGACTCTGAGACACTGAGACACTGAGACTGAGACACTGAGACCTGGTCTCTACTCTAGACACTCAGACACTGAGACCTTGAGACACTGAGACCCTGAGACACTGAGACTCTGAGACACTGAGACACTGAGACTCTGAGACACTGAGACCTGGTCTCTACTCTAGACACTCAGACACTGAGACCCGGTCTCTACTCTAGACACTGAGACACTGAGACACTGAGACCCTGAGACACTGAGACTCTGAGACTCTGAGACACTGAGACTCTGAGACACTGAGACCTGGTCTCTACTCTAGACACTCAGACACTGAGACCCGGTCTCTACTCTAGACACTGAGACTCTGAGACTCTGAGACACTGAGACTCTGAGACACTGAGACACTGAGACCCGGTCTCTACTCTAGACACTGAGACCTGGTCTCTACTCTAGACACTGAGACCTGGTCTCTACTCTAGACACTGACCCTGAGACCCGGTCTCTACTCTAGACACTGAGACACTGAGACTCTGAGACACTGAGACTCTGAGACACTGAGACCCGGTCTCTACTCTAGACACTGAGACTCTGAGACACTGAGACACTGAGACCCTGAGACACTGAGACACTGTCTCTACTCTAGACACTGAGACACTGAGACACTGAGACTCTGAGACACTGAGACACTGAGACTCTAAGACACTGAGACTCTAAGACACTGAGACACTGAGACTCTAAGACACTGAGACTCTGAGACCCTGAGACACGGAGACATTGAGACCTGGTCTCTAGACACTGAGACACTGAGACACTGAGACCTTGAGACCCTGAGACACTGAGACTCTGAGACCCTGAGATACTGAGACCTTGAGACACTGAGACTCTAAGACACTGAGACTCTGAGACACTGAGACACTGAGACCCTGAGACCTGGTCTCTACTCTAGACACTGAGACACTGAGACCTGGTCTCTACTCTAGACACTGAGACCCTGAGACCTGGTCTCTACTCTAGACACTGAGACCTGGTCTCTACTCTAGACACTGAGACCCGGTCTCTACTCTAGACACTGACCCTGAGACCCGGTCTCTACTCTAGACACTGAGACACTGAGACCCGGTCTCTACTCTAGACACTGAGACCCTGAGACCTGGTCTCTACTCTAGACACTGAGACCTGGTCTCTACTCTAGACACTGAGACCCGGTCTCTACTCTAGACACTGACCCTGAGACCCGGTCTCTACTCTAGACACTGAGACACTGAGACCCGGTCTCTACTCTAGACACTGAGACACTGAGACCCGGTCTCTACTCTAGACACTGAGACCTGGTCTCTACTCTAGACACTGAGACCCGGTCTCTACTCTAGACACTGACCCTGAGACCCGGTCTCTACTCTAGACACTGAGACACTGAGACACTGAGACTCTGAGACCCTGAGACTCTGAGACTCTGAGTCACTGAGACCCTGAGGCCTGGTCTCTACTCTAGACCCTGAGAACCTGAGACCCGGTCTCTACTCTAGACACTAAGACCCTGACACACTGAGACCTTGAGACACTGAGACCCGGTCTCTACTCTAGACACTGAGACTCTGAGACACTGAGACCCTGAGACTCTGAGACACTGAGACTCTGAGACTCTGAGACACTGAGACTCTGAGACACTGAGACACTGACACACTGAGACTCTGAGACAGTGAGACCTTGAGACACTGAGACTCTGAGACTCTAAGACACTGAGACTCTAAGACACTGAGACCCTGAGACTCTGAGACCCTGAGACACTGAGACTCTGAGACACTGAGACTCTGAGACACTGAGACTCTGAGACCCTGAGACACTGAGACTCTGAGACACTGAGACACTGAGACCCTGAGACACTGAGACTCTGAGACACTGAGACTCTGAGACACTGAGACCCTGAGACTCTGAGACACTGAGACTCTAAGACACTGAGACTCTGAGACACTGAGACACTGAGACTCTGAGACACTGAGACACTGAGACTCTGAGACACTGAGACACTGACACACTGAGACTCTGAGACAGTGAGACCTTGAGACACTGAGACTCTGAGACTCTAAGACACTGAGACTCTAAGACACTGAGACCCTGAGACTCTGAGACCCTGAGACTCTGAGACTCTGAGACTCTGAGACACTGAGACATTGAGACCCTGAGACCTTGAGACACTGAGACCCTGAGACACTGAGACATTGAGACATTGAGACACTGAGACCTTGAGACACTGAGACCCGGTCTCTACTCTAGACACTGAGACCCTGAGACACTGAGACCTTGAGACACTGAGACACTGAGACCTTGAGACACTGAGACACTGAGACACTGAGACTCTAAGACACTGAGACACTGAGACACTGAGACTCTGAGACACTGAGACACTGAGACCTTGAGACACTGAGACCCGGTCTCTACTCTAGACACTGAGACTCTGAGACACTGAGACACTGAGACCCTGAGACACTGATACTTGGTCTCTAGACACTGAGACACTGAGACTCTGAGACACTGAGACACTGAGACCTTGAGACACTGAGACACTGAGACCTTGAGACACTGAGACACTGAGACACTGAGACTCTAAGACACTGAGACACTGAGACACTGAGACTCTGAGACACTGAGACCTTGAGACACTGAGACACTGAGACACTAAGACACTGAGACACTGAGACACTGAGACCCTGAGACCTGGTCTCTAGACACTGAGACACTGAGACCCTGAGACCTGGTCTCTAGACACTGAGACCCTGAGACCTGGTCTCCAGACACTGAGACCACGTGGTCACCTGATCTCTCTCTCCAGGGCTTCGATGCACGTGTGGCTCTTCAGCAAGTCGGCCCGTAGCTGAGCCGTCTGCTGATGGCCCTCGGCGAGCTCCTTGAGGAGCCGGAAGTTCGCCTCTTCAAGACTCTCGCAGAACGCCTGTGGAGCAACAACAACGATCAACAACCAACAACAACAACAATCAGCAACAACCACAGCCATCAGCAAAAAAATCAACAGCAACAACAGTCATCAACAACCACTACCAACAACAACAACAACCATCGACAACAACCAACAACAACAATCAGCAACGACCACTACCAACAACAACAAAAACAACCATCAACAACCAACAACAACAGTCATCAACAACCACTACCAACAACAACAAAAACAACCATCAACAACCAACAACAACAATCAGCAACGACCACGGCCATCGGCAAAAATCAACAGCAACAACAGCAGCCATCACCACAACCGTCAACAACAAAAACAACCATCGACAACAACAACAACAACAGCCATCAACAACAACCACGGCCATCAGCAAAAAATCAACAGCAACAACAGTCATCAACAACCACTACCAACAACAACAAAAACAACCATCAACAACAACAATCAGCAACAACCACAGCCATCAGCAAAAAAATCAACAGCAACAACAGTCATCAACAACCACTACCAACAACAACAACCATCGACAACAACCAACAACAACAATCAGCAACGACCACTACCAACAACAACAACAACCATCGACAACAACCAACAACAACAATCAGCAACGACCACGGCCATCGGCAAAAATCAACAGCAACAACAGCAGCCATCACCACAACCGTCAACAACAAAAACAACCATCGACAACAACAACAACAGACATCACCAACAACCACGGCCATCAGCAAAAAATCAACAGCAACAGCAACCACCACAACCATCAACAACAACCACAACCAACTACGTGATTGTTGTTGGTTCTTGTGGTTATTGTCGTGATTGTTGTTGTGGTTGTTGTTGTGGGTATTGTTGTGGTTGTTGTGATGGTAGTTGCTGTGGTTATTGTTGTTGTAGTGGTTGTTGTTATTATCGATTTTGTTGTAGTTGTTATTGTTGGTTTTTTTGTGGTTGTTGTTTTTGTGGCTGTTATTGTTGTGGTTGTGGTTGCGGTGGTGATTGTGGTTGTTATTGTTGTGGTGGTGATTGTGGTTGTTATTGTTGTGGTTGGTGTTGCTTTTGTTTGTAGTTGTTGTTTTTGTGGTTGTTGTGGTGGTTATGGTGGTGGTTGTTGTTGCTGTTATGGTTGTTGTTGTGGTTGTTGTTGTTGTGGTTGTTGTTGTGGTTGTTGTTGTTGTTGTGGTTGTTGTTGTTGTTGTTACCCGGCTCTCCTCGAGGCTGTCGAAGGGGCCCGGGGAGTCATCGAGGCACAGGAACTCCCTCACGGGGATACTGACACAGACACACACAAACAGTCTCACACACAGATACACACACACAGACACACACACACACAGACACACACACACAGACACACACACACAGACATACACAGACACACAGACATACACACACAGACACACACACACAGACACACACACAGACACACACACACACAGATACACACACACAGACAGACACACACAGACATACACATACACACCATCACACTCCTCAGCAGGGCCACCACCACCGCCACCACCACCATACTCACCATCACCACCACCATGCTCACCAACACCATGCTCACCACCACCACACTCACCACCACCACACTCACCACCACCACGCTCACCACCACCACCACACTCATCACCACCACACTCACCACCACCACCAGCACGCTCACAACCACCACACTCACCACCACCACCACACTCACCACCACCACCACACTCACCACGCTCACCACCACCACACTCACCACCACCACCACAATCACCACCACCACCACACTCACCACGCTCACCACCACCACACTCACCACCACCACCACAATCACCACCACCACCACACTCAGCACCACCACACTCACCACCACCACCACGCTCACCACCACCACACTCACCACCACGCTCACCAGCAGCAGCACGCTCACCACCACCACCACACTCACCACCACCAGCACACTCACCACCACCACACTCACCACCACACTCACCACCACCACACTCACCACCACCACCACACTCACCACCACCACCACCACACTCACCACCACCACCACACTCACCACCACCACCACACTCACCACCACCACCACCACACTCACCACCACCACCACACTCACCACCACCACCACCACACTCACCACCACCACCACCACCACACTCACCACCACCACCACACTCACCACCACACTCACCACCACACTCACCACCACACTCACCACCACCACCACACTCACCACCACCCTCACCACCACACTCACCACCGCGCTCACCACCACCACACTCACCACCACCACACTCACCACCGCACTCACCACCACACTCACCACCACCATTACACTCACCACCACCACCACCACACTCACCACCACCACCACCACCACCACACTCACCACCACACTCACCACCACACTCACCACCACACTCACCACCACCACACTCACCACCACACTCACCACCACACTCACCAGTTGGCCACGTCCTGGTGAGCGACGAGGTTCTGCAGGAAGGCGGCCAGGCCCAGAGACCTCTCCTCCAGGAACTCCGCCTCAAAGTTGTCCTTGAACCAACGCTTGGGCGGCAACGCCAGGCGGAAACCAGGGAACATCTCGCGTAGCTACGGGGACGTCAACAACAACAACAATAACGTCAACAACGTCAACAACGTCAACAGTAACGTCAACAATAACATCAACAATAACGTCAACAATAACATCATCAGTAGAGACATCAACAACGTCAACAATAACATCAACAACGTCAACAATAACATCAACAACGTCAACAATAACATCATCAGTAGAGACATCAACATTAACATCAACAACGTCAACAATAACATCAACAACGTCAACAATAACATCATCAGTAGAGACATCAACAATAACATCAACAACGTCAACAATAACATCAACAACGTCAACAATAACATCATCAGTAGAGACATCAACAACGTCAACAATAACATCATCAGTAGAGACATCAAAAGTAACATCAACAGCGTCAATAGTAACATCAACGTCAACAATAACATCAACAACGTCAACAATAACATCATCAGTAGAGACATCAACAACGTCAACAATAACATCATCAGTAGAGACATCAAAAGTAACATCAACAGCGTCAATAGTAACATCAACGTCAACAATAACATCAACAACGTCAACAATAACGTCAACAACATCAACAACGTCAACAATAACATCATCAGTAGAGACATCAACAACAACATCAACAACGTCAACAATAACATCATCAGTAGAGACATCAACAATAACATCAACAACATCAACAATAACATCAACAACATCAACAATAACATCAACAACGTCAACAATAACATCATCAGTAGAGACATCAACAATAACATCAACAACGTCAACAATAACGTCAACAACATCAACAATAACATCATCAGTAGAGACATCAACAATAACATACACAACATCAACAATAACATCAACAACGTCAACAATAACATCATCAGTAGAGACATCAACAATAACATCAACAACATCAACAATAACATCAACAACGTCAACAATAACATCAACAACGTCAACAAAAACATCATCAGTAGAGACATAAACAATAACATCAACAACGTCAACAATAACGTCAACAACATCAACAACGTCAACAATAACATCATCAGTAGAGACATCAACAATAACATACACAACATCAACAATAACATCAACAACGTCAACAATAACATCAACAACGTCAACAATAACATCATCAGTAGAGACATCAACAATGTCAACAATAACATCAACAACGTCAACAATATATTCTTAGCTCTTTCGGTAAAGTCACGTTAAAGGGAAACAATCAAATCATAAAATATATATAAAACAATAAAAATTCTCACGACGTTTCGACCATAACACAAACGGTAATCATCAGGTGTGAAAAACCAACGGCAAGAAGCATTTGAAAGAAGTGGCGGTTTGCGTTTATTTAGTTATTTGTAAACTGTGTTTGTATTAATTTATAAAAACCGTCAGCGCCACGCGCAACGATTTGTCAGTTTATTTAGAAGGACGAGTCCATCTATGTTCTGAAAAGAGGATGGGGGAGACGAAAAATTTAATGTATGCTGTCTGAAAGCCACCGTAAGCGTGAACAATCAATGAAGACCTGAAATGGTTTATAAAATCCTTCCAATGATTGCTAAGCCAATCATTTTTATATATTTTATTGTTTCCCTTTAACGTGACTTTACCGAAAGAGCTAAGAATATGAATTACTGCAGTCACGAAAGCTTTAAATCAAAACGTCAACAATAACATCATCAGCAGAGACATCAACAATAACATCAACAATAGCATCATCAGTAAAGACGTCAACAATAACATCAACAACGTCAACAATAACATCATCAGTAGAGACATCAACAATAACATCAACAACGTCAACAATAACATTATCAGTAGAGACATCAATAATAACATCAACAATGTCAACAATGACATCATCAGTAGAGACATCAACAATAACAACAACAACGTCAACAATAACATCAACAACGTCAACAATAACATCAACAACGTCAACAATGACATCATCAGTAGAGACATCAACAATAACATCAACAACGTCAACAATAACATCAACAACGTCAACAATAACATCAACAACGTCAACAATAACATCAACAACGTCAACAATGACATTATCAGTAGAGACATCAACAATAACATCAACAACGTCAACAATAACATCATTAGTAGAGACATCAACAATAACATCAACAACGTCAACAATAACATCAACAACGTCAACAATAACATCATCAGTAGAGACATCAACAATAACATCAACAACGTCAACAATAACATCAACAACGTCAACAATAACATCATCAGTAGAGACATCAACAATAACATCAACAACGTCAACATTAACATCAACAACGTCAACAATAACATCAACAACGTCAACAATAACATCATCAGTAGAGACATCAACAATAACATCAACAACGTCAACAGTAACATCAACAACGTCAACAGTAACATCAACAACGTCAACAATAACATCAACAACGTCAACAATGACATCAACAACGTCAACAATGACATCATCAGTAGAGACATCAACAATAACATCAACAACATCAACAGTAACATCAACAACGTCAACAATAACATCATTAGTAGAGACATCAACAATAACATCAACAACGTCAACAATGACATCATCAGTAGAGACATCAACAATAACATCAACAACGTCAACAATAACATCAACAACGTCAACAATAACATCAACAACGTCAACAATGACATCAGCAGTAGAGACATCAACAATAACATCAACAACGTCAACAGTAACATCAACGTCAACAATAACATCAACAACGTCAACAATAACATCAACAACGTCAACAATAACATCAACAACATCAACAATGACATCAGCAGTAGAGACATCAACAATAACATCAACAACGTCAACAGTAACATCAACGTCAACAATAACATCAACAACATCAACAATAACATCAACAACGTCAACAATAACATCAACAACGTCAACAATGACATCAGCAGTAGAGACATCAACAATAACATCAACAACGTCAACAGTAACATCAACGTCAACAATAACATCAACAACGTCAACAATAACATCAACAACGTCAACAATTACATCATCAGTAGAGACATCAACAATAACATCAACAACGTCAACAATAACATCAACAACGTCAACAATTACATCATCAGTAGAGACATCAACAATAACATCAACAACGTCAACAATAACATCAGCAACATACACAATACCATCGGCAATGTCAACAACATTAACAAACAAAAACATGCATACACACACATACACGTACACACACGTACATGCATGTACACACACGTACACATACATACACGTACACACACACACGTACACGCACACACACACACGCACGTTCACGCACGTACAGGCACACACGTACACGCACACACACACAGGCACGTACACGTACACACACACACGTACACGCACACACGCACGTTCACACACACACGCACACACGTACACCCACATACGTACACGCACACACACACACGCACGTTCACGCACGTACACGCACACACGCACACACACACAGGCACGTACACACACGTACACACACGTACACGCACACACGCACACACACGTTCACTTACGTACACGCACACACACACGCACGTTCACGCACGTACACACACGCACACACGTACACGCACACACGCACACACGCACACACGTACACGCACACACACACGTACACACGCACACACGTACACGCACACACGTTCCCGCACGTACACGCACACACGTACACGTACACACGTTCATGCACGTACACGCACACACACACACGTTCATGCACGTACACGCACACACGCACACACGTACACGCACACACGTACACGCACACGTACACGCACACACGCACACACGCACACACACACGTACACGCACGTACACAACAACAACAACAACCGCCATTCGCCACTAAGTGGCGGTGACATCACCACGACGCTTGTGCCAGGCTATGTGCACCGTGAGGCCACATGAAGTGTCGAACGCCCGCTGGCAGGAGGTCACTGGGCAGACCCAGGTGCCACGGGTCGACTGACTGAGATGACTGGCTGATGCACCACCTGTGCCCCCTACTGTGCCAACCTGCTGTGCTTTAGCCACCCGGCGCTCTGCTCGTTGTTGTGAGCGTCGCTCCTCCGCCCTCCGTTGTTGTTGGAGGGCGACTGCCTCCAACTGCCCAGTAGCATCCTTCACGAGCCTCCTCCACAGAGGCCGATCTTGACACCGCTGGTACCAGTCATCGGCAAGTCCACTCAGCTCCACGTCCTCCCATACCACATCACTCCATCTCTTCTCTAGCCCGTGCCGCGCCCGCTTAGCCCCCTCAATCCGGCCAAACAAAAGCTGTTTCGGCATGCGGTGGCTGGGCATGCGGGCTACATGACCCAGCCATCGCAGCCTTGCCTGCCGGAGGAGCTCACCGATGGGACCCTGCCCAGACCTTTCAAGGATTTGTGAGCTCCTCACACAATCCAGTCTGGTTAAACCCAGGATGGATCGTAGGCAGGCCAGCCTAAATGTTTCTAACCGGCGAAGATGTTCCATTCGGGGGGTCCACGTTTCGCAAGCGTAGAGAAGGGAGGGAATGACCGTGGCCGAGAAGACCTGAAGCTTAGTGCGGAGCGACAGACCAGGTAGCTTCCACACAGCGTTACGCAACCGATGAAAAGATATTTCCGCTCGACTGATTCGGAGTGAGACCTCTGCTGTTAAACTGGCGCCATTCATAAGCACACTGCCCAGGTATGGGAAACTCTCCACTCTCTCCACAACTGCCCCATCACCGATTGGGAGTTTTGGGGGTGGAGTGTCCGATGGTACAAAATACCCAGGCAGGTGCTTAGTTTTGGTGGGGCTGATGGTAAGGCCCCACCTCTTAGTGGCACGCTCCAGTCTCAGCAGCAGCGTCTCCAACTCCTCCTCTGACTGAGCAGCTATTACCAAATCATCAGCATACATAACGTGGTTGAGCAATAGGGAGCCATCCCTTGACCGCACCCGGGCATCGATTAGCCTCCCATTATATCTGTACCATATGGAGATCCCCCTGGTACAGCTATTGAAGGCTTCACTAACTACGTGGTCAAAATAGATGTTAAATAATGTGGGAGCCAGAGGACATCCCTGTCGCACCCCAAGGTGTACAGGGAATGGCTCTGACTCCCGGCCACGTAGTTTTACCCGGGCCCGCTCACCATCATGAAGGTCCTTAATGATCGTGAGCAGAGGGTCAGGTACTCCAAAAGCACGAAGAACGACCCAGAGCCCAGGCCTACTGATGGTATCATAGGCCTTGACCAGGTCAATAAAGCAGAGATGTAGGTCTTGTTGGAATTCCCTACACCTCTGCTGTAGCAGACGGACAGAAAATATGGCATCTGTGCAGGACCGCCCTTTCCTGAAACCGCATTGGGGCTCCGCAAGCCTCTCCTCAGCGTGCCTGGCAAGGCGATGCTGAATAATCCTTGCCAGGACCTTTCCCGGCACACTGAGGAGTGAGATGCCCCTGTAGTTGTTACAGTCTGTGCGGTCCCCCTTCTTAAAAAGGGGGACCACCAGGGCATCCTTCCAATCCTGCGGAACCCGTCCAGTGGTCCAGACTGTTGTTATGATGTCATATAGGGCAGTCTGTGCACAAACGCCACCCTCCCTCAGCATTTCGCTTGGGAGATCATCTCTGCCCGCTGCCTTTCCTGGTCTCAGACTCCGGATCGCCTTCAATACTTCCTCAGCAGATGGCACCTCAGCCAGCCACTCACAGGGGGTGACTTCTTCCAATATTTGAGGCACCGCAGCCTCAGCAGGGTCATCCTCACTTTGTGCCACGATGTTTTCCTGGCTGAGGGATTTTCCCTCTCCCAGGACCTCACAGAAATGCTAAGCAAATCTGAGAACCTGTTCCTGGGGGTCGGAGATTGGATCACCGTTTTTTCCCCTAATGATGGTAATAGGTGTGGCGCTGCAGGTTACTTTTTTGATGGAGTTAAATAGAGATTTGTGATCACGGGCCACTGAGGCAGACTCCATCTCCTCAGCAACCCGCGACCACCACCCATCCTTGCAGCGCCTCACGGCTCTCCGAACCTCCGAGCGAAGGCTGCGGTAAGCCTCCTCATTCTCTGACGTGGGATTCTGTAGCCAATGACAGTGGGCCTGTCGCTTTTTCTCAACCATCCTGAACACCTCCTCTGTCAGCCAGGGTCTCTGGGGAGGTCTGGACCGCGTACCCAAAGCAGCCATTGCAGCTGCATGAGTCACAGTCCTAAACCTCGCCCATCCCAGCCGCAAGCGATGATGAAATTCTCGCTTGCAACTTTCATCAGATAACTGAGACCAGGCCACTTTATGTTGGAATGGGGTCCTGGGTGTACACCCACCACCGGAGTGGAAGAATGGCAGGCGCATCTTACAGATGACTAGTCGATGGTCAGAGGGCAAATCAGCTCCACGGTAGGTCCTGGTGTCAAGGACATGGGCTCGCATTCGCTGGTCCGTCACTATGTAGTCCAGCAGATGTTCTTGCTTGGACCCGGCATGCATCCATGATGTTGTGTGGATGCGCCGATGCCGGAACAGCGTGTTGGTAATTACAAGCCCATGGGCTGCACAAAAATCTAGCAGCCTCCTACCGTTGTTATTGAGCTGATCTGGCCCATGCCCTCCAATCACTCCAGACCAGGTGCCAGTATCATGACCAACTCGGGCATTGAAGTCACCCAACATGATGACTCTATCCCGAGGGGCCACTTTAGCCAGCACCTGTGACAGGAGGTCATAGAAGGCATCTGACTCATCGGCTTTGCCTGCATCCCTCCACGGATATTCATCTTCGGTGGGGGCATAAGTAACCACGACCACCATTCCTCGCCTCCGGTTGATGGGAAGGCGAGCCCAAAGTAGCCTGGGGCTGGCACGTACACGCACACACGCACACACACACGTACACGCACATACGCGCACACGCACACACGCACGCACACACACACGTACACGCACACACGCACACACACACGTACACGCACACACACGCACACACGCGCACACACGCACACGCACACACACGTACACGTACCTTATCGTTGAGGCGGGAGAAGTCGGTGTACCTGCGAAAGACGACCCAACTCTCTCCAACGCTGCTTCGCACCAACACCTTGTACACCTACAGATGATGAGAGACCGGGTCTCAGGGTCTAGAGTAGAGACCGGGTCTCAGGGTCTCAGTGTCTAGAGTAGAGACCGGGTCTCAGGGTCTAGAGTAGAGACCGGGTCTCAGTGTCTAGAGTAGAGACCAGGTCTCAGTGTCTCAGTGTCTAGAGTAGAGACCAGGTCTCAGTGTCTCAGTGTCTAGAGTAGAGACCGGGTCTCAGGGTCTCAGTGTCTAGAGTAGAGACCGGGTCTCAGTGTCTAGAGTAGAGACCGGGTCTCAGGGTCTCAGTGTCTAGAGTAGAGACCGGGTCTCAGGGTCTCAGTGTCTAGAGTAGAGACCGGGTCTCAGTGTCACCGTGAACCTGTCTCTCTCTCTGTCTCTCTCACCGTGAACCTGTCTCTCTCTCTCTGTCTGTCTCTCTCACCGTGAACCTGTCTCTCTGTCTGTCTGTCTCTCTCACCGTGAACCTGTCTCTCTCTCTCTCTGTCTGTCTCTCTCACCGTGAACCTGTCTCTCTCTGTCTCTCTCACCGTGAACCTGTCTCTCTCTCTCTCTGTCTGTCTCTCTCACCGTGAACCTGTCTCTCTCTCTCTCTGTCTGTCTCTCTCACCGTGAACCTGTCTCTCTCTGTCTGTGTCTCTCACCGTGAACCTGTCTCTCTCTCTCTCTGTCTGCCTCTCTCACCGTGAACCTGTCTCTCTCTCTCTCTCTGTCTGTCTCTCTCACCATGAACCTGTCTCTCTCTCTGTCTGCCTCTCTCACCGTGAACCTGTCTCTCTCTCTCTGTCTCTCTCTCTCTGCCTCTCTCACCGTGAACCTGTCTCTCTCTCTCTCTGTCTGCCTCTCTCACCGTGAACCTGTCTCTCTCTCTCTGTCTCTCTCTCTCTGTCTCTCTCTCTCTCTCACCGTGAACCTGGCTCTCTCCTCCATGACCTCGTGGCCGATGATGGTGGGCGTGGGCGGGCGGTCCGGCCACTGAGCTACGTCTCCCGGCGGTTGCTCGCCGCTGACGTAGCTGCCGCTGCAGCGTCTCTCCGCGTCCGGAGGAGCGGTGCTGTGGAGCGTCACGTCGCTCTGCTGCTGGTGCAGAGACAGGAAGGCGATGGCCGGGGTAACAACAACAACAACAACGGTTTAGCCGCGTGGTGACGGTGGTGTTGGAGGCGGTGTTGGAGGTGGTGGTGTTGGCAGTGGTGGTGGTGACGGTGGTGTTGGAGGTGGTGGTCGCAGCGGTCGTGGTGGTGGTGGTGGCGGTGGTGCAGTGTTGAGTCTATGGTGCAGTGTTGAGTCTATGGTGCAGTGCTGAGTCTATGGTGCAGTGCTGAGTCTATGGTGCAGTGCTGAGTCTATGGTGCAGTGTTGAGTCTATGGTGCAGTGCTGAGTCTATGGTACAGTGCTGAGTCTATGGTGCAGTGATGAGTCTATGGTGCAGTGATGAGTCTATGGTGCAGTGTTGAGTCTATGGTGCAGTGTTGAGTCTATGGGGCAGTGTTGAGTCTATGGTGCAGTGCTGAGTCTATGGTGCAGTGCTGAGTCTATGGTGCAGTGTTGAGTCTATGGTGCAGTGTTGAGTCTATGGGGCAGTGTTGAGTCTATTGTGCAGTGTTGAGTCTATGGTGCAGTGTTGAGTCTATGGGGCAGTGTTGAGTCTATGGTGCAGTGGTGAGTCTATGGTGCAGTGCTGAGTCTATGGTGCAGTGTTGAGTCTTGGTGCAGTGTTGAGTCTATGGGGCAGTGTTGAGTCTATGGTGCAGTGGTGAGTCTATGGTGCAGTGTTGAGTCTTGGTGCAGTGCTGAGTCTATGGTGCAGTGTTGAGTCTATGGGGCAGTGTTTGAGTCTATGGTGTAGTGGTCAGTCTATGGTGCAGTGTTGAGTCTATGGGACAGTGCTGAGTCTATGGTGCAGTGTTGAGTCTATGGGGCAGTGTTGAGTCTATGGTGAAGTGCTGAGTCTATGGTGCAGTGTTGAGTCTATGGGCAGTGTTGAGTCTATGGTGCAGTGTTGAGTCTAGGGTGCAGTGTTGAGTCTATGGTGCAGTTTTGAGTCTATGGTGCAGTGTTGAGTCAATGGTGCAGTGTTGAGTCTATGGTGCAGTGTTGAGTCTATGGTGCAGTGGTGAGTCTATGGTGCAATATTGAGTCTATGGGACAGTGCTGAGTCTATGGTGCAGTGTTGAGTCTATGGTGCAGTGCTGAGTCTATGGTGCAGTGCTGAGTCTATGGTGCAGTAATGAGTCTATGGGGCAGTGTTGAGTCTATGGTGCAGTGGTGAGTCTATGGTTGCAGTGCTGAGTCTATGGTGCAGTGCTGAGTCTATGGTGCAGTGTTCAGTCTATGGTGCAGTGTTGAGTCTATGGTGCAGTGTTGAGTCTATGGTGCAGTGTTGAGTCTATGGTGCAGTGTTGAGTCTATGGTGCAGTGCTGAGTCTATGGTGCAGTGTTGAGTCTATTGTGCAGTGTTGAGTCTATGGGCAGTGTTGAATCTATGGTGCAGTGTTTAGTCTATGGTGCAGTGTTGAGTCTATGGTGCGGTGCTGAATCTATGGTGCAGTGTTGAGTCTATGGTGCAGTGCTGAGTCTATGGTGCGGTGCTGAATCTATGGTAAAGTGTTGAGTCTATGGTGCAGTGCTGAGTCTATGGTGCAGTGTTGAGTCTATGGTGCAGTGCTGAGTCTATGGTGCAGTGCTGAGTCTATGGGGCAGTGCTGAGCCGATGGTGCAGTGTTGAGGCTATGGTGCAATGTTGAGTCTATGGTGCAGTGTTGAGTCTATGGTGCAGTGTTGAGTCTATGGTGCAATGATGAGTCTATGGTGCAGTGCTGAGTCTATGGTGCAGTGTTGAGTCTATGGTGCAGTGTTGAGTCTATGGTGCAATGTTGAGTCTATGGTGCAGTGTTGAGTCTATGGTGCAGTGTTGAGTCTATGGTGCAGTGTTGAGTCTATGGTGCAGTGCTGAGTCTATGGTGCAGTGCTGAGTCTATGGTGCAGTGTTGAGTCTATGGTGCAGTGGTGAGTCTATGGGGCAGTGCTGAGCCTATGGTGCAGTGTTGAGCCTATGGTGCAATGTTGAGTCTATGGTGCAGTGTTGAGTCTATGGTGCAGTGTTGAGTCTATGGTGCAGTGATGAGTCTATGGTGCAGTGCTGAGTCTATGGTGCAGTGTTGAGTCTATGGTGCAGTGTTGAGTCTATGGTGCAATGTTGAGTCTATGGTGCAGTGTTGAGTCTATGGTGCAGTGTTGAGTCTATGGTGCAGTGTTGAGTCTATGGTGCAGTGGTGAGTCTATGGTGCAGTGCTGAGTGAGTCTATGGTGCGGTGTTGAGTCTACGGGGCAGTGCTGAGTCTACGGTGCAGTGTTGAGTCTATGGTGCAGTGTTGAGTCTATGGTGCAGTGTTGAGTCTATGGTGAAGTGTTGAGTCTATGGTGCAGTGTTGAGTCTATGGTGCAGTGTTGAGTCTATGGTGCAGTGCTGAGTCTATGGTGCAGTGTTGAGTCTATGGTGCAGTGCTGAGTCTATGCTGCAGTGTTGAGTCTATGGTGCAGTGTTGAGTCTATGGTGCAGTGTTGAGTCTATGGTGCAGTGTTGAGTCTACAGTGCGGTGCTGAGTCTATGGTGCAGTGTTGAGTCTATGGTGCAGTGTTGAGTCTTTTGTGCAGTGTTGAGTCTATGGTGCAGTGTTGAGTCTATGGTGCAGTGTTGAGTCTATGGTGCAGTGTTGAGTCTATGGTGCGGTGTTGAGTCTATGGTGCGGTGCTGAGTCTATGGTGCAGTATTGAGTCTATGGTGCAGTGTTGAGTCTATGGTGCAGTGTTGAGTCTATGGTGCAGTGTTGAGTCTATGGTGCAGTGCTAAGTCTATGGTGCAGTGTTGAGTCTATGGTGCAGTGCTGAGTCTATGGTGCAGTGTTGAGTCTATGGTGCAGTGTTGAGTCTATGGTGCAGTGCTGAGTCTATGGTGCAGTGCTGAGTCTATGGTGCAGTGTTTAGTCTATGGTGCAGTTTTGCGTCTATGGTGCAGTGTTGAGTCTATGGTGCGGTGCTGAGTCTATGGTGCAGTGTTGAGTCTATGGTGCAGTGCTGTGTCTATTGTGCTGTGTTCAGTATATGGTGCAGCGTTGAGTCTATGGTGCAGTGTTAAGTCTATGGTGCAGTGTTGAGTCTATGGTGCAGTGTTGAGTCTATGGTGCAGTGTTGAGTCTATGGTGCAGTGCTGAGTCTATGGTGCAGTGCTGAGTCTATGGTGCAGTGCTGAGTCTATGGTGCAGTGTTGAGTCTATGGTGCAGTGCTTAGTCTACGGTGCGGTGCTGAGTCTATGGTGCAGTTTTGAGTTTGTGGTGCAGTGTTGAGTCTATGGTGCAGTGTTGAGTCTTTTGTGCAGTGTTGAGTCTACGGTGCAGTGTTGAGTCTATGGTGCAGTGTTGAGTCTTTTGTGCAGTGTTGAGTCTATGTGCAGTGTTGAGTCTATGGTGCGGTGCTGAGTCTATGGTGCAGTGTTAAGTCTATGGTGCAGTGTTGAGTCTATGGTGCAGTGCTGAGTCTATGGTGCAGTGTTGAGTCTATGGTGCAGTGTTGAGTCTATGGTGCAGTGTTGAGTCTATGGTGCAGTGTTGAGTCTATGGTGCAGTGTTGAGTCTATGGTGCAGTGTTGAGTCTATGGTGCAGTGTTGAGTCTATGGTGCGGTGTTGAGTCTATGGTGCGGTGCTGAGTCTATGGTGCAGTGTTGAGTCTATGGTGCAGTGTTGAGTCTATGGTGCAGTGTTGAGTCTATGGTGCAGTGTTGAGTCTATGGTGCAGTGCTAAGTCTATGGTGCAGTGTTGAGTCTATGGTGCAGTGCTGAGTCTATGGTGCAGTGTTGAGTCTATGGTGCAGTGTTGAGTCTATGGTGCAGTGCTGAGTCTATGGTGCAGTGCTGAGTCTATGGTGCAGTGTTTAGTCTATGGTGCAGTTTTGAGTCTATGGTGCAGTGTTGAGTCTATGGTGCGGTGCTGAGTCTATGGTGCAGTGTTGAGTCTATGGTGCAGTGCTGTGTCTATGGTGCTGTGTTCAGTATATGGTGCAGCGTTGAGTCTATGGTGCAGTGTTAAGTCTATGGTGCAGTGTTGAGTCTATGGTGCAGTGTTGAGTCTATGGTGCAGTGTTGAGTCTATGGTGCAGTGCTGAGTCTATGGTGCAGTGCTGAGTCTATGGTGCAGTGCTGAGTCTATGGTGCAGTGTTGAGTCTATGGTGCAGTGCTTAGTCTACGGTGCGGTGCTGAGTCTATGGTGCAGTTTTGAGTTTGTGGTGCAGTGTTGAGTCTATGGTGCAGTGTTGAGTCTTTTGTGCAGTGTTGAGTCTACGGTGCAGTGTTGAGTCTATGGTGCAGTGTTGAGTCTTTTGTGCAGTGTTGAGTCTATGTGCAGTGTTGAGTCTATGGTGCGGTGCTGAGTCTATGGTGCAGTGTTAAGTCTATGGTGCAGTGCTGAGTCTATGATGCAGTGTTGAGTCTATGGTGCAGTGTTGAGTCTATGGTGCAGTGCTGAGTCTATGGTGCAGTGCTGAGTCTATGGTGCAGTGCTGAGTCTATGGTGCAGTGTTGAGTCTATGGTGCAGTGCTTAGTCTACGGTGCGGTGCTGAGTCTACGGTGCAGTTTTGAGTTTGTGGTGCAGTGTTGAGTCTATGGTGCAGTGTTGAGTCTTTTGTGCAGTGTTGAGTCTACGGTGCAGTGTTGAGTCTATGGTGCAGTGTTGAGTCTTTTGTGCAGTGTTGAGTCTATGTGCAGTGTTGAGTCTATGGTGCGGTGCTGAGTCTATGGTGCAGTGTTAAGTCTATGGTGCAGTGTTGAGTCTATGGTGCAGTGCTGAGTCTATGGTGCAGTGTTGAGTCTATGGTGCAGTGTTGAGTCTATGGTGCAGTGTTGAGTCTATTGTGCAGTGTTGAGTCTATGGTGCAGTGTTGAGTCTATGGTGCAGTGTTGAGTCTATGGTGCGGTGCTGAGTCTATGGTGCAGTGTTGAGTCTACGGTGCGGTGTTGAGTCTATGGGAGTGTTGAGTCTATGGTGCAGTGCTGAGTCTATGGTGCAGTGTTGAGTCTATGGTGCAGTGTTGAGTCTATGGTGCAGTGTTGAGTCTATGGTGCAGTGTTGAGTCTATGGTGCGGTGCTGAGTCTATGGTGCAGTGTTGAGTCTACGGTGCGGTGTTGAGTCTATGGGGAGTGTTGAGTCTATGGTGCAGTGCTGAGTCTATGGTGCAGTGTTGAGTCTATGGTGCAGTGTTGAGTCTATGGTGCAGTGCTGAGTCTATGGTGCAGTGCTGAGTCTATGGTGCAGTGCTGAGTCTATGGGCAGTGTTGAGTCTATGGTGCAGTGTTGAGTCTATGGTGCAGTGTTGAGTCTATGGTGCAGTGTTGAGTCTTTTGTGCAGTGTTGAGTCTATGGTGCAGTGTTTAGTCTATGGTGCAGTTTTGAGTCTATGGTGCAGTGTTGAGTCTATGGTGCAGTGCTGTGTCTATGGTGCTGCGTTCAGTATATGGTGCAGCGTTGAGTCTATGGTGCAGTGTTGAGTCTATGGTGCAGTGTTGAGTCTATGGTGCAGTGTTGAGTCTATGGTGCAGTGCTGAGTCTATGGTGCAGTGCTGAGTCTATGGTGCAGTGCTGAGTCTATGGTGCAGTGTTGAGTCTATGGTGCAGTGCTTAGTCTACGGTGCGGTGCTGAGTCTATGGTGCAGTTTTGAGTTTGTGGTGCAGTGTTGAGTCTATGGTACAGTGTTGAGTCTTTTGTGCAGTGTTGAGTCTATGGTGCAGTGCTGAGTCTATGGTGCAGTGTCGAGTCTATGGTGCGGTGCTGAGTCTATGGTGCAGTTTTGAGTTTGTGGTGCAGTGTTGAGTCTATGGTGCAGTGTTGAGTCTACGGTGCAGTGCTGAGTCTACGGTGCAGTGCTGAGTCTACGGTGCGGTGCTGAGTCTATGGTGCAGTGTTGAGTCTACGGTGCAGTGTTGAGTCTACGGTGCAGTGTTGAGTCTATGGTGCAGTGTTGAGTCTACGGTGCAGTGTTGAGTCTATGGTGCAGTGTTTAGTCTATGGTGCAGTGTTGAGTCTATGGTGCAGTGTTGAGTCTATGGTGCAGTGTTGAGTCTATGGTGCAGTGTTGAGTCTATGGTGCAGTGTTGAGTCTTTTGTGCGGTGTTGAGTCTATGGTGCAGTGTTGAGTCTATGGTGCAGTGCTGAGTCTATGGTGCAGTGTTGAGTCTATGGTGCAGTGTTGAGTCTATGGGCAGTGTTGTCTATGGTGCAGTTTTGAGTTTGTGGTGCAGTGTTGAGTCTATGGTGCAGTGTTGAGTCTATGGTGCGGTGTTGAGTCTATGGTGCAGTGTTGAGTCTACGGTGCAGTTTTGAGTCTATGGTGCAGTGTTGAGTCTATGGTGCAGTGCTGAGTCTATGGTGCAGTGTTGAGTCTATGGTGCAGTGCTGAGTTTACGGTGCGGTGCTGAGTCTACGGTGCAGTGCTGAGTCTACGGTGCGGTGTTGAGTCTACGGTGCAGTGCTGAGTCTATGGTCAAGCCAGACACAACAGCGCTAGCTCGCGTAGCGGAGCAGTTGTATTGTCGTCATCACCGCCGTCGTGAAGTCTCCGTCTTCGTACGTTTGCGGATCACGGCAGCGTGCACCACCGCAGCCACCGTTCTCGGCTCAGGCCGCCGGATAGCGTCGGCAAATTTTTTCGCTGTTTTTTTTAACCGTCGGCGCTCCGGCTCAGGCCGCGTCCGCTGCCGCCCGCCGCGGTTTCGCTCGGCGGACGACGCCGTCCCGCGCGGCGCGGCGCGGCGCGACCGAACATTCATTCTCCCTAATAAAGTATTAAAGCTTTCGTGAGATGTGCCCTTTTTGAGCTGCCGTTTTGTATTCACAAGAGGTGGTCCTTTTTTGAGCTGCCGTTTTGTAGGTGTAAGATGTTGCGTGTTTGAGCTGCCGCTCTCGCTCTGGCCCCTCCCCCCCCTCCAACCGTATTTCCTATTTAAGCTTCTGTTCATCCCTCCGCCCCCCTCTCTCTCTCTCTCTCTGCCTCCCTATCCGTCTTTCCTCCCTCCTTACCTCTTGGTGGACTTGTATATATGTATTTCTACCGACCGTGTACCTCGTATTTTTCATTCTATCTATGCTGGTATGTGCAATCCAAAGGTTGAACACGAAATTTAACACTCTTCTGAAATTCTTGGTCCGCCAGGAAGTGTCTCACTGTGTTGTTGGCCTGACTGGATGTGGCTTCACATAATGTTTTTCCAGGTTTGTTGAATTCTCGTCTCTCATCTTTTTGTTGTTGTATTTCACCTCCGTGATTTGTACCTTGACACCTGACGAAGATCGCTGGCGTTGTGATCGAAACGTCGTGATTGTGTTTTTTGTTTTAATATAATTTTATTGTATTTCTACATACGTGACTTTGCCGAAAAAACCAATGAGTCATTCCTTCTCCCCCCCCGCCGCGGCACAACAAGCGAGCGATTACCGCGCTCCTGTGTCCCGCGACGATGGTGATGCCGCTGATGCGACCGCCGTCGCCGCCGGCATCGCCGCCGGCATCACCGCCACCGGCGCCGCCTCCCGCCAGATTCTTTTCGGTCGCACTGCAGCCTCCGCCGCCGTGGCCAGAGTCGTGGGATCCTCTCCCCGGCTTGTTGTTGTTGTTGTTGCTCTTGCCTTTGCTCTTGCTGCTGCTGCTGCTGTTGTTGTTGTGAAGGGGCAACGGCACCGGGGTACAGCTCACGGACATCGCCGGGGCAGCGGAACGGCCGGACGAGGAGACTGCCCCGTCACGAGCATCGGGAGGAGTCTGCGGAAGGAGGAGGAGGGATGAGGAGGTGGTGGAGGTGGATGAGGAGTAGGAGCAGGAGGTGGTGGTGGAAGAGGAGGTGGAGTGGGCAGAGGAGTGGGCGGAGGAGGTGGTGGTGGTGGACGAGGTGGAGTGGGAGGAGGTGGAGGTGCTGGTGGTGGAGGAGGAGGTGGTGGTGGAGGAGGTGGTAGAGGAGGTGGTGATAGAGGAGGTGGAGGAGTGGGAGGAGGTTCTGGTGGTGGCGGTGGACGAGGAGTGGGAGGAGGAGGTGGTGGTGGAGGAGGTGATAGAGGAGGTGGAGGAGTGGGAGGAGGTGGTGGTGGTGGTGGTGGCGGAGGAGGTGGTGGTGGTGGAGGTGGTAAAGGAGGTGGTGGAGTGGGCAGAGGAGGTGGTGGTGGACGAGGTGGAGGAGTGGGAGGAGGATGGTGTGTAGGCATATATAGAGTCAGTAGATACTGCTGCTACTGACTCTATTGTACTACTGACTCTATTGTACTACTGACTCTATTGTACTACTGACTCTATTGTACTACTGACTCTATTGTACTACTGACTCTATTGTACTACTGATTCTATTGTACTACTGACTCTATTGTACTACTGACTCTATTGTACTACTGACTCTATTGTATGTAGGGTGTGTTGGTATATATAGAGTCCGTACATGCTACAGACCCGCAGACTCATCACACAGAGACCCACAGACTCACCACACAGAGACCCACAGACTCACCACACAGAGACCCATATACTCACCATACAGAGACCCACAAACTCACACGGAGACCCACAGACTCACCACACAGAGACCCACTGACTCACCACACAGAGACCCACAGACTCGCCACACAGAGACCTATAGACTAACACAGAGACCCATAGACTCACCAGAGACCCACAAACTCACCATACAGAGACCCACAAACTCACCATACAGAGACCCACAGACTCACCATACAGAGACCCACAAACTCATACAGAGACCCACAGACTCACCACACAGAGACCCACAGACTCACCACACAGAGACCCACAGACTCACCACACAGAGACCCACAGACTCACCACATAGAGACCCACAGACTCACACAGAGACCCACAGACTCACCACACAGAGACCCACAGACTCACACAGAGACCCACAGACTCACCACACAGAGACCCACAGACTTACCGCACAGAGACCCACAGACTCACCACACAAAGACCCACAGACTCACCACAGAGACCCACAGACTCACCACACAGAGACCCACAGACTCACCACACAGAGACCCACAGACTCACCACACAGAGACCCACAGAATCACCACACAGAGACCTATATACTCACCATACAGAGACCCACTAACTCACACGGAGACCCACAGACTCAGCACACAGAGACCCACTGACTCACCACACAGAGACCCACAGACTCGCCACACAGAGACCCATAGACTAACACAGAGACCCATAGACTCACCAGAGACCCACAAACTCACCATACAGAGACCCACAGACTCACCATACAGAGACCCACAAACTCATACAGAGACCCACAGACTCACGACACAGAGACCCACAGACTCACCACACAGAGACCCACAGACTCACAACACAGAGACCCACAGACTCACCACACAGAGACCCACAGACTCACCACATAGAGACTCACAGACTCACACAGAGACCCACAGACTCACCACACAGAGACCCACAGACTCACCACACAGAGACCCACAGACTCACCACACAGAGACCCACAGACTCACCACACAGAGACCCACAGACTCACCACACAGAGACCCACAGACTCACCACACAGAGACCCACAGACTCACCACACAGAGACCCACAGACTCACCACACAGAGACCCACAGACTCACCACACAGAGACCCACAGACTCACCACACAGAGACCCACAGACTCACCACACAGAGACCCACAGACTCACCACACAGAGACCCACAGACTCACCACACAGAGACCCACAGACTCACCACACAGAGACCCACAGACTCACACAGAGACTCACAGACTCACCACACAGAGACCCCTAGACTCACACAGAAACCCACAGACTCACCACACAGAGACCCACAGACTCACCACACACAGACCCACAGACTCACCACACAGAGACCCACAGACTCACCACACAGAGGCCCACAGACTCACCACACAGAGACCCACAGACTTACCACACAGAGACCCACAGACTCACCACACAGAGACCCACAGACTCACCACACAGAGACCCACAGACTCACCACACAGAGACTCACATACTCACACAGAGACCCACAGACTCACCACACAGAGACCCACAGACTCACCACACAGAGACCCACAGACTCACCACACAGAGACCCACAGACTCACCACACAGAGACCCACAGACTCACCACACAGAGACCCACATACTCACCACACAGAGACCCACAGACTCACCACACAGAGACCCACAGACTCACCACACAGAGACTCACATACTCACACAGAGACCCACAGACTCACCACACAGAGACCCACAGACTCACCACACAGAGACTCACATACTCACACAGAGACCCACAGACTCACACAGAGACCCACAGACTCACCACACAGAGACTCACAAACTCACCACACAGAGACCCACAGACTCACACAGAGACCCACAGACTCACCACACAGAGACTCACAAACTCACCACACAGAGACCCACAGGCTCACCACCAAGAGACACACAGACTCACCACACAGAGACCCACAGACTCGCCACACGGAGATCCACAGACTCACCACACAGAGACCCACAGACTCACCACACAGAGACTCACATACTCACACAGAGACCCACAGAATCACACAGAGACCCACAGACTCACCACACAGAGACTCACAGACTCACCACACAGAGACCCACAGACTCACCACACAGAGACCCACAGACTCATCACACAGAGACCCACAGACTCACCACACAGAGACTCACAGACTCACCACACAGAGACCCACAGACTCACCACACAGAGACTCACATACTCACACAGAGACCCACAGACTCACACGGAGACCCACAGACTCACACGGAGACCCACAGACTCACCACACAGAGACCCACAGACTCACAACACAGAGACCCACAGACTCACACGGAGACCCACAGACTCACCACACAGAGACCCACAGACTACTCACACAGAGACCCACAGACTCACCACACAGAGACTCACATACTCACACAGAGACCCACAGACTCACACAGAGACCCACAGACTCACCACACAGAGACTCACAAACTCACCACACAGAGACCCACAGACTCACACAGAGACCCACAGACTCACCACACAGAGACTCACAAACTCACCACACAGAGACCCACAGGCTCACCACCAAGAGACCCACAGACTCACCACACAGAGACCCACAGACTCGCCACACGGAGATCCACAGACTCACCACACAGAGACCCACAGACTCACCACACAGAGACTCACATACTCACACAGAGACCCACAGACTCACACAGAGACCCACAGACTCACCACACAGAGACTCACAGACTCACCACACAGAGACCCACAGACTCACCACACAGAGACCCACAGACTCATCACACAGAGACCCACAGACTCACCACACAGAGACTCACAGACTCACCACACAGAGACCCACAGACTCACACAGAGACCCACAGACTCACCACACAGAGACCCACAGACTCACCACACAGAGACCCACAGACTCACACAGAGACCCACAGACTCACCACACAGAGATCCACAGACTTACCGCACAGAGACCCGCAGACTCACCACACAGAGACCCACAGACTCACCACACAGAGACCCACAGACTCACCACACGGAGTCCCACAGACTCACCACACAGAGACCCACAGACTCACCACACGGAGTCCCACAGACTCACCACACAGAAACCCACAGACTCACCACACAGAGACACCCACAGACTCACCACACGGAGTCCCACAGACTCACCACACAGAGACCCACAGACTCACCACACGGAGTCCCACAGACTCACCACACAGAGACACCCACAGACTCACCACACAGAGACCCACAGACTCACCACACAGAGACCCACAGACTCACCACACGGAGTCCCACAGACTCACCACACAGAGACCCACAGACTCACCACACGGAGTCCCACAGACTCACCACACAGAAACCCACAGACTCACCATACAGAGACCCACAGACTCACCACACGGAAACCCACAGACTCACACAGAGACCCACAGACTCACACGGAGACCCCGGTACCCACCCATAGCCTCACCCAGCCCCTCCCGGGTCGCGAGCGCCTCTCCTCGGCAGCCGAACTAGGAAAGACCGGCGATGGGGGAAGGAGGCACGGCGGCCCTCAACGCCTGGGCCTCTCGTGAAATCACAATAAGTTTTGAGGTAAATTAAAACAAAAAAAAAGAAAAAAAATTGCGTTTTTTTATTTTAAACTTACGTTTAATTCCTTTGAGTCGTTTGAATTGTTTAATATTTATATTTATTTTTAAAAGTTTTCATTCCGTTATAGCCCGAACGCCGCTTTGGAGTGCGAAGTTTCTCTTAGCGGTCTGAGCGCCGACGGCCTCGCGAAGTGCCCTCAGGGCACCGAGAGCCTCCCTCAGTGCCCTCAGGGCACCGAGAGTCTCTCTCAGTGCCCTGAGGGCACCGACAGCCTCCCGGAGTGCCCTCAGGGCACCGAGAGTCTCTCTCGGTGCCCTGAGGGCACCGAGAGTCTCTCTGTGCCCTCAGGGCACCGACAGCCTCCCGAAGTTCCCTCAGGGCACCGACAGCCTCCCGAAGTTCCCTCAGGGCACCGACAGCCTCCCGAAGTGCCCTCAGGGCACCGACAGCCTCCCGAAGTTCCCTCAGGGCACCGACGGCCTCCCGAAGTGCCCTCAGGGCACCGACAGCCTCCCTCAGTGCCCTCAGGGCACCGAGAGCCTCCCTCAGTGCCCTGAGGGCACCGAGAGTCTCTCTGTGCCCTCAGGGCACCGACAGCCTCCCGAAGTGCCCTGAGGGCACCGACACCCTCCCTCAGTGCCCTCAGGGCACCGACAGCCTCCCTCAGTGCCCTGAGGGCACCAAGAGCCTCCCGGAGTGTCCTGAGGGCACCGACAGCCTCCCGGAGTGCCCTCAGGGCACCGAGAGTCTCTCTCAGTGCCCTGAGGGCACCGACAGCCTCCCGGAGTGCCCTCAGGGCGCCGACAGCCTCCCGGAGTGCCCTCAGGGCGCCGACAGCCTCCTGAAATGCCCCGAGGGCACCGAGAGTCTCTCTCAGTGCCCTGAGGGCACCGAGAGCCTCCCTCAGTGCCCTCAGGGCACCAAGAGCCTCCCGGAGTGCCCTCAGGGCACCGACAGCCTCCTGAAGTGCCCTCAGGGCACCGAGAGTCTCTCTCAGTGCCCTGAGGGCACCGAGAGTCTCTCTGTGCCCTCAGGGCACCGACAGCCTCCCGAAGTGCCCTCAGGGCACCGACAGCCTCCCGAAGTGCCCTCAGGGCACCGACAGCCTCCCTCAGTGCCCTCAGGGCACCGAGAGTCTCTCTCAGTGCCCTGAGGGCACCGACAGCCTCCCTCAGTGCCCTGAGGGCACCAAGAGCCTCCCGGAGTGCCCTGAGGGCACCGACAGCCTCCTGAAGTGCCCTCAGGGCACCGAGAGTCTCTCTCAGTGCCCTGAGGGCACCGAGAGTCTCTCTGTGCCCTCAGGGCACCGACAGCCTCCCGAAGTGCCCTCAGGGCACCGACAGCCTCCCGAAGTGCCCTCAGGGCACCGACAGCCTCCCTCAGTGCCCTCAGGGCACCGAGAGTCTCTCTCAGTGCCCTGAGGGCACCGACAGCCTCCCTCAGTGCCCTGAGGGCACCAAGAGCCTCCCGGAGTGCCCTGAGGGCACCGACAGCCTCCCGGAGTGCCCTCAGGGCACCGACAGCCTCCCGGAGTGCCCTCAGGGCACCGACAGCCTCCCGAAGTGCCCTCAGGGCACCGACGGCCTCCCGGAGTGCCCTCAGGGCACCGACAGCCTCCTGAAATGCCCTCAGGGCACGAACCACAGAGCCTCAGCAACACTGAATAGTAACAACAAGGACGGTAGGAATAATAATACTGTGCGACACGATTTTTGTCCCTGAGTGTTATTTTCTAATTGCTTATGCCTCCAAAGTATAGAAAGTGGGTATTTATTATTCCCCAATAAACTTTGCTTTGGTTGACCAGGACCTAACGTTGAACGTAAGACACAAATTCGCCCGTTTTCTCATTGAAAATAGGTCGATTTCAGAATATCACCGTCCTGGCCACAAACGCAAAGTTTGTGGGGAATAAATAGCCACTTTCTGTACTTTAGAGGCATACGCAATTAGGAAAACAACACTTAAACTACCCAGGAACAATTTGTAATTTTTTGAAGCTTTACTTTATTTGAAGCTTTCTTTCCACGTGACTTTACCGAAAGTACTAAAGAGTAATTATCGCAGTCACGAAAGCTTCAAATCAAGTTGGGAGTCTTAAAATTTTCATTTAAAGCTTTCGTGACTGCTGGGATTAATATTCTTGGTTCTTTCGGTAAAGTCACCGCCACGTAGAAGGGAAACAATAAAATAATAAAAATATAAAACAATTAAGTTATTGTAAAACACTAAAATTATTATTCTTGGTTCTTTCGGTAAAGTCACCGCCACGTAGAAGGGAAACAATGAAATAATAAAAATATAAAACAATTAAGTTATTGTAAAACACTAAAATTATTATTCTTGGTTCTTTCGGTAAAGTCACCGCCACGTAGAAGGGAAACAATAAAATAATAAAAATATAAAACAATTAAATTATTGTAAAACACTAAAATTATTATTCTTGGTTCTTTCGGTAAAGTCACCACCACGTAGAAGGGAAACAATAAAATAATAAGAATATAAAACAATACAATTATTATTCTTGGTTCTTTCGGTAAAGTCACCACCACGTAGAAGGGAAACAATAAAATAATAAAAATATAAAACAATAAAATTATTGTAAAACAATAAAATTAATATTCTTGGTTCTTTCGGTAAAGTCACCACCACGTAGAAGGGAAACAATAAAATAATAAAAATATATATAACAATAAAATTCTGAACATAGATGTACTCGTCCATCTGAACCACCTGTTAAATCGCTCTCCGTGGTGCTAACGTAAAAAAAAACGCCACTTTTTTCAAATTTTCTTGCTGTGGTTTTCACACCTGATGATGATTGCTTGTGTTGCAGTCGAAACGTCGTGAGAATTTTATTGTTTTATATGTTTTTATTATTTTATTATTTCCCTTCTACGTGGCGGTGACTTTACCGAAAGAACCAAGAATAATACTTTTATTTTTTACAATAATTTTATTGTTTTATATATTTTTATTATTTTATTGTTTCCCTTCTAAGTGGCGGTGACTTTACCGAAAGAACCAAGAATAATAATTTTAATGTTTTACAATAATTTTATTGTTTTATATTTTTTATTATTTTATTGTTTCCCTTCTACGTGGCGGTGACTTTACCGAAAGAACCAAGAATAATAATTTTATTGTTTTACAATAATTTTATTGCTTTATATATATTTTTTATTATTTTATTTTTTTCCCTTCTACGTGGCGGTGACTTTACCGAAAGAACCAAGAATAATAATTTTATTGTTTTACAATAATTTTATTTTTTATATTTTTATTATTTTATTGTTTCCCTTCTACGTGGCGGTGACTTTACCGAAAGAACCAAGAATAAGTTTGGAGTCGTTCATGTTCAGATTTTTGTTGGCAAAATTCGACGTTCAAGGTGGTTGCCTGTGAGCGTCGCTTTGAAGTTGATCTTGATTGCCTGCTCCTCAATCGTCAACGTTAACCGAGCACGAGCAGCCCCCCCCAGCCCCCAGGGTCATTGCCCGAAACATCGGCTTTGAGGAATAGGAGCAGGGCTTGAAGTGGGCGGGGACTAGTGTAAGTGGGGCGGGGCTAAGTGTCCGAGCGGGGGTGGCTCGCGATAAAGTAGGAGGGGGCTAGTGGCGGAGGTGGGCTGGGACAACTGGAGGTGGGCGGGGCTAGTGGCGGAGTTGGGCCTGGCTAGCGATAAAGTAGGAGGGGCTAGTGGCGGAGGTGGGCAGGGACAACTGGAGGTGGGCGGGGCTAGTGGCGGAGTTGGGCCTGGCTAGCGATAAAGTAGGAGGGGCTAGTGGCGGAGGTGGGCAGGGACAACTGGAGGTGGGCGGGGCTAGTGGCGCAGTTGGGCCTAGGGCTAGCGATAAAGTAGGAGGGACTAGTGGCGGAGGTGGGCAGGGACAACTGGAGGTGGGCGGGGCTAGTGGCGGAGTTGGGCCTGGCTAGCGATAAAGCGGGAGGGGCTCTAGTGGCGGAGGTGGGCAGGGACAACTGGAGGTGGGCGGGGCTAGTGGCGGAGTTGGGCCTGGCTAGCGATAAAGTAGGAGGGGCTAGTGGCGGAGGTGGGCAGGGACAACTGGAGGTGGGCGGGGCTAGTGGCGCAGTTGGGCCTGGCTAGCGATAAAGTAGGAGGGGCTAGTGGCGGAGGTGGGCAGGGACAACTGGAGGTGGGCGGGGCTAGTGGCGCAGTTGGGCCTAGGGCTAGCGATAAAGTAGGAGGGGCTAGTGGCGGAGGTGGGCAGGGACAACTGGAGGTGGGCGGGGCTAGTGGCGGAGTTGGGCCTGGGGCAATGACGCGGGGGAGGGCCGATTGGACGGAGTGGGCGTGGCTAGCGGCGAAGTGGGGGAGGGTAGTGGCGGAGACCGCTGAGAGTAAGGGGCGGGGCTAGTGTCCGAGTGGGAGTGGCCTGGCGTGGTTGTGGGCGTTTTAAATCGCGAGGCAGGGGAGGGGCACTTACCCGGAAGCTGTTACTCGGAAGCTGTTACTCGGAAGTAGTGACCCGGAAGTGTATTGGGTGTGACGGGGTCGGCGCGGCTGTCATGGCGTCGAGCGTGGCGCGCGGGGCTCGCAGACAGAAGTGGAGCGTCGAGTTCACAGCCAGGTGACTCACAGACACACAGATGTATAGTATATACACATATATATATACACACATACATATACACAGACACACATATAGTATATATAATATAGTATATATATATACACATACATATACACAGAGAGACACACATATACATATACAGACAGAAGTGGAGCGTCGAGTTCACAGCCAGGTGACTCACAGATACACATATATATAGTATATAATATATATAGTAGTATATATATACACACATATACACAGATACATATACACAGAGAGATACACAGATACATATACAGACAGAAGTGGAGCGTCGAGTTCACAGCCAGGTGACTCACAGACACACACACATATATAGTATATATACACACATACATATACACACAGATACATATACACAGAGAGAGACATATACAGACAGAAGTGGAGCGTCGAGTTCACAGCCAGGTGACTCACAGACACACATATATAGTATATATACATACACACACATACATATACACACAGATACATATACACAGAGAGAGAGAGACACACAGATACATATACAGACATAAGTGGAGCGTCGAGTTCACAGCCAGGTGACTCACAGAGAGAGAGACACACACATATATAGTATATATACACATATATACAGTATATATACACATATATACAGTATATATACACATACATATACACACATATACACACATATACACAGAGAGACACACATACATATACACACATACATATACACACAGATACATATACACAGAGAGAGACACACATATACACATATATACACAGAGACAGACACAAACACACACACATATATACACAGTATATACATACATATACACAGAGACAGTCTCGTCCCCTTCACCTGATGAAGGCCGCTTGTGTTGTGGCCGAAACGTCGTGAGAATATTATTGTTATTTTATTTTATCAATTTATTATTTTATTCTCATTCTACGTGACTTTACCGAAAGAACCAATGAAGATGAATCCTTGCAGTCACGAAAGCTTTAAATCGAAATACACACACATAACAACCGCCATTCGTCACTAAGTGGCGGTGACGTCACCACGACGCTTGTGCCAGGCTATGTGCACCTTGAGGCTACGTGAAGTGTCGAACGCCCACTGGCAGGAGGTCACGGGGCAGACCCAGGTGCCACGGGTCGACTGACTGAGATGACTGGCTGATGCACCACCTGTGCCCCCTACTGTGCCAACCTGCTGTGCTTTAGCCACCCGGCGCTCCGCTCGTTGTTCTGAGCGTCGCTCCTCCGCCCTCCGTTGTTGTTGGAGGGCGACTGCCTCCAACTGCCCAGTAGCGTCCTTCACGAGCCTCCTCCACAGAGGCCGATCTTGACACCGCTGGTACCAGTCATCAGCAAGTCCACTCAGCTCCACGTCCTCCTGTACCACATCACTCCATCTCTTCTCTAGCCCGTGCCGCGCCCGCTTAGCCCCCTCAATGCGGCCGAACAAAAGCTGTTTCGGCATGCGGTGGCTGGGCATGCGGGCTACATGACCCAGCCATCGCAGCCTTGCCTGCCGGAGAAGCTCACCGATGGGTCCTTGCCCAGATCTTTCAAGGATTTGTGAGCTCCTCACACAATCCAGTCTGGTTAAACCCAGGATGGATCGTAGGCAGGCCAGCCTAAATGTTTCTAACCGGCGAAGATGTTCCATTAGGGGTGTCCACGTTTCGCAAGCGTAGAGAAGGGAGGGAATGACCGTGGCCGAGAAGACCTGAAGCTTGGTGCGGAGCGACAGACCAGGTAGCTTCCGCACAGCGTTACACAACCAATGAAAATATATTGCTGCTCGGCTGATTCGGAGTGAGACCTCTGCTGTTAAACTGGAGCCGGTCATGAGCACACTGCCCAGGTATGGGAAACTCTCCACTCTCTCCACAACTGCCCCATCACCGATTGGGAGTTGTGGGGGTGCAGTGTCCGATGGTACAAAATACCCAGGCAGGTGCTTAGTTTTGGTGGGGCTGATGGTAAGGCCCCACCTCTTAGTGGCACGCTCCAGTCTCAGCAGCAGCGTCTCCAACTCCTCTGAATGAGCAGCTATTACCAAATCGTCGGCATACATAACGTGGTTGACCAATAGGGAGCCATCCCTTGACCGCACCCGGGCATCGATCAGTCTCCCATTGTATAACAAAGATAAAGATTCCCCGTGTAGCCTTAACAGACTGTTGGGGCAAGTGCTGTTAGCGAGCACCTATGAAGGCCGGAACGGTACACGAGGAGGTGGGTGGCCAGCACCACGCCCGACCACCTTTGTCTCCCCAGTGGCAATCTTTACACACCACACCAGGTACTCATTTGAGGCTGAGTCGACCTAGGGGAGGCCCGGGTACCGGTTCAGATAATCGTCACTGGTGTTGGCCGTGAGCGGGAATCGAACCCGGGTCGCCAGGTTCATAGCGCAGCGCACTAACTGCTACACCATCACTCACATACACAGACACACACACACATATATACATACACACAGATATACATACATACACATCCAGTTCACAGCCAGGTGACGGACAGACACGGAGACAGACACGGAGACAGACACGGAGACAGACACGGAGACAGTGGGAGATACGTTGTGGGGGAGACACGGAGACGGGGTGCTGGAGACACGGGAGATAGAGAGACAGACAGGGGGACAGGGAGACAGAGTGGGAGACACCCCACGGCCTCGTGTATACCAGGCGAGGTAGTCAACATCTCATAGCCACTGTGATGATGATGAGAGAGACACAGACTCCACATAGACCTCCTGTAGACCAGGCGAGGTAGTCAACATCTCCTAGCCACCGTGATGATGATGATGATGAGAGAGAGACGCAGACTCCAAATCTACAGCAGCAGCAGCAGGCGTCGTCAGGGGTCGGGATCGAACCCACGACCTCCTGTAGGCCAGGCGAGGTGGTCAACATCTCCCGGCCACCTGCGGTGTCTCCCCCAGGGTACGTGGGGATCTGGTGGCCCCGGTCGGATTCTCCGACCGACCTCTCTCCGTCTCCAACATCCGCGAGCATGACCAGGACCTCGTCGACAAGGTGAGTGGGACCAGCGGCCACAGCCCGTACACAAAGGTCCCCCGTGTAGCCTGTAGCAGGCTGTAGGGGCAAGTGCTGTTAGCGAGCAGCAGCACCTAATGAAGGCGACCGGCACTGTGGCACACGAGGGGGTGGGTGGCCAGCGCCACCACGCCCGGCCGCCTTTGTCTCTCCCCCAGTTGCGACGTTTACTGCGTTACCGCACCAGGTACTCGTTTGAGGCTGAGTCGACCTAGGGGTAGGCCCAGGACCGGTTCAGTTAATCGTCACTGGTGGTGTTGGCCGTGAGCAGGAATTGAACCCGGGTCGCCAGTTTTGTAGTGCAGTGCACTAACCGCACACACACACACACGTACAACAACCGCCATTCGCCACTAATTGGCGGTGACGTCACCATGACGCTTGTGCCAGGCTAGGTGCACCCTGAGGCCACGTGAAGTGTCGAACGCCCGCTGGTAGGAGGTCACGGGGCAGACCCAGCAAGTGCCACGGGTCAACTGAGATGACTGGCTGATGCACCACCTTTGCCCCTTACTGTGCCAACCTGCTGTACTTTAGCCACCCGGCGCTCGGCTCGTTGTTGTGAGCGTCGCTCCTCCGCCCTCCGTTGTTGTTGGAGGGCGACTGCCTCCAACTGCCCAGTAGCGTCCTTCACGAGCCTCCTCCACAGAGGCCGATCTTGACACCGCTGGTACCAGTCATCGGCAAGTCCACTCAGCTCTACGTCCTCCTGTACCACATCACTCCATCTCTTCTCTAGCCCGTGCCGTGCCCGTTTAGCTCGACTGATTCGGAGTGAGACCTCTGCTGTTAAACTGGAGCCGGTCATAAGCACACTGCCCAGGTATGGGAAACTCTCCACTCTCTCCACAACTGCCCCATCACCGATTGGGAGTGTTGGGGGTGGAGTGTCCGATGGTACAAAATACCCAGGCAGGTGCTTAGTTTTGGTGGGGCTGATGGTAAGGCCCCATCTCTTAGTGGCATGCTCCAGTCTCAGCAGCAGCATCTCCAACTCCTCCTCTGATTGAGCAGCTATTACCAAATCATCGGCATACATAACGTGGTTGAGCAATAGGGAGCCATCCCTTGACCGCACCTGGGCATCGATCAGCCTCCCATTATATCTGTACCATATGGAGATTCCCCCGGTACAGCTATTGAAGGCTTCACGAACTACGTGGTCAAAATAGATGTTAAATAATGTGGGAGCCAGAGGACATCCCTGTCGCACCCCAAGGTGTACAGGGAATAGCTCTGACTCCCGGCCACGTAGTTTTACCCGGGCCCGCTCACCATCATGAAGGTCCTTAATGACCGTGAGCAGAGAGTCAGCGACTTCCAAAGCACGAAGAACGACTCGGAGCCCAGGCCTACTGATGGTATCATAGGCCTTGACCAGGTCATTAAAGCAGAAATGTAGGTCTTGTTGGAATTCCCTACACCTCTGCTGTAGCAGACGGACAGAAAATATGGCATCTGTGCAGGACCGCCCTTTCCTGAAACCGCAATGGGGCTCCGCAAGCCTCTCCTCAGCGTGCCTGGCAAGGCGATGTTGAATAATCCTTGCCAGGACCTTTCCTGGCACACTGAGGAGTGAGATGCCCCTGAAGTTGTTACAGTCTGTGCGGTCCCCCTTCTTAAAGAGGGGGACCACCAGGGGATCCTTCCAATCCTGCGGAACCCGTCCAGTGGCCCAGACTGTTGTTATGATGTCATATAGGGCAGTCTGTACACAAACGCCACCCTCCCTCAGCATTTCGCTTGGGAGATCATCTCTGCCCGCTGCCTTTCCTGGTCTCAGACTCCGGATCGCCTTCAGTACTTCCTCAACAGATGGCACCTCAGCCAGCCACTCACAGGGGGTGACTTCTTCCAATATTTGAGGCACCGCAGCCTCAGCAGGGTCATCCTCACTTAGTGCCACGATGTTTTCCTGGCTGAGGGATTTTCCCTCCCCCAGGGCCTCACAGAAATGCTCAGCACATCTGCAAACCCGTGTCCCCGTGTCTCCCTACACTGTCTCACTGTCTCACCGTGTCTCCCTACACTCTCTCACCGTGTCTCCCTACACTGTCTGTGTCCCCGTGTCTCCCTATACTGTGTCCCCGTGTCCCCCTGCACTGTCTCACCGTGTCCCCGTGTCTCCCTGCACTGTCTCACTGTGTCCCCGTGTCTCCCTACACTGTCTCACTGTGTCCCCGTGTCTCCCTGCACTGTCTCACCGTGTCCCCGTGTCTCCCTACACTGTCTCACCGTGTCCCCGTGTCTCCCTACACTGTCTCACCGTGTCCCCGTGTCTCCCTACAGTGTCTCACTGTGTCCCCGTGTCTCACGGTGTCCCCGTGTCTCCCTACACTGTCTCACTGTGTCCCCGTGTCTCCCTACACTGTCTCACTGTGTCCCCGTGTCTCCCTACAGTCTCACCGTGTCTCCCTGCACTGTCTCAGCGTGTCCCCGTGTCTCCCCGTGTTGTCTGTTTCTCTGCATCTCACTGTGTCTCCCTGTGTCTTACCAGGTCTCTCCTTGTCTCACCATGTTCCCATGTCTGTCTCCCCGTGTCTCACGATATCTCTCCACGTTGTCTCCCCGTGTCTCACTGTGTCCCCCGTCTCCCCGTGTCTCCACGTTGTCTTCCCGTATCTCCCGTCTCCCCGTGTCTCCCCCCCCCGTGTCTCACCGTGTCCCCCCGTGTCCCGTCTCCCCGTATCTCCACGTTGTCTCCCCGTGTCTCACCACATTGTCTCACCACGTTGTCTCTCCACGTTGTCTCACCACGTTGTCTCACCACGTTGTCTCCCCGTGTCTCACCACGTTGTCTCACCACGTTGTCTCTCTGCGTTGTCTCTCCGTGTCTCACCACATTGTCTCACCGTGTCTCCCCCCCCCCCCCGTGTCTCCCCTCCCCCCCGTATCTCCCCCCCCGTGTCTCACCACGTTGTCTCCCCGTGTCTCACCACGTTGTCTCCCCCCCCGTGTCTCACCACGTTGTCTCCCCCCCCGTGTCTCACCACGTTGTCTCACCACGTTGTCTCACCACGTTGTCTCACCACGTTGTCTCCCCCCCTCCCGTGTCTCCACGTGCGTGTGCAGCGCTGCTGGGACATTGCCCTGGGACCGCTGAAGCAGATCCCCATGAACTTGTTCATCATGTACATGGCTGGGAACACCATTTCCATCTTCCCCATCATGATGGTCTGCATGATGGCATGGAGACCCATACAGGCCCTCATGGCCATGTCTTCAAGTACGCTCGCTCGCCCGCCCGCACGCTCACTCACCCGCCCATACCCTCACACACACGCTCACTCGCCCACACGCTCACCCACACGTTCGCCCACCCATACCCTCGCCCACACGCTCACCCACCCGGTCACTCGCTCACGCGCTCGCCCACACGCTCGCCCACCCGGTCACTCGCCCACACGCTCACCCACCCGGTCACTCACTCGCTCACACACTGGCCCACACGCTCACCCACCCGGTCACTCGCCCACACGCTCGCCCACCCGGTCACTCGCCCACACGCTCGCCCACACGCTCACCCACACGTTCGCCCACCCATACCCTCGCCAACACGCTCACCCACCCGGTCACTCGCTCACACACTGGCCCACACGCTCACCCACACGTTCGCCCACCCATACCCTCGCTCACACGCTTGCTACACTACTATACACTACGATACACTACATGCTACACTACTATACACTACTGTACACTACATGCTACACTACTGTACACTGCATGCTACACTACTATACACTACATGCTACACTACGATACACTACTATACACTACATGTTACACTACTATACACTACATGCTACACTACTATACACTACATGCTACACTACTATACACTACATGCTACACTACTATACACTACATACTACACTACATGTTACACTACTATACACTACATTATACACTACTATACACTACATGCTACACTACTATACACTACATGCTACACTACTATACACTGCATGCTACACTACTGTACACATACGACACTGTACGTAGTGTATAGTGCAGTGTGTAGTGTAGTATGTAGTGTGTAGTATGTAGTGTATAGTGTAGTATGTAGTTTATAGTAGTGTAGTATGTAGTTTATAGTAGTGTATAGTGTAGTGTGTAGTTTATAGTAGTGTAGTATGTCGTTTATAGTAGTGTATAGTGTAGTATGTAGTTTATAGTGTAGTATGTATAGTGTAGTATGTAGTTTATAGTGTAGTATGTATAGTGTAGTATGTAGTTTATAGTGTAGTATGTATAGTGTAGTATGTAGTTTATAGTGTAGTATGTAGTGTATAGTATGTAGTGTAGTATGTAGTGTATAGTGTAGTATGTAGTTTATAGTAGTGTAGTGTGTAGTGTATAGTAGTGTGTAGTGTAGTATATAGTAGTGTGTAGTGTAGTATGTAGTGTATAGTAGTGTAGTATGTAGTGTATAGTAGTGTGTAGTGTAGTATGTAGTGTATAGTAGTGTGTAGTGTAGTATGTAGTGTAGTATGTAGTGTATAGTAGTGTAGTGTATAGTAGTGTGTAGTGTAGTATGTAGTGTATAGTAGTGTGTAGTGTAGTGAACTTATTTCGTACCACCGTACGTAGCCAACTGAGGGACAAAATACGAAACACAACAAGAAATTCTAAATAAATTTTATCTTTTAACGTAGAATCGTGGTGCAGTGTAGAGTAGTGTACAGTAGCGTAGTGTAGTATGTAGTGTAGTTTATAGTGTAGTGTGTATAGTAGTGTATAGTGTAATGTATAATTGTAGTGCATGTAAGCAGTGTATCGTGTCTATTAGTGTAGTGTAGCGTTGTGTATAGTATGTAGTTTATAATAGTGCATAGTGTAGTGTGTAGTGTATAGTGTATAGTGTAGTGCAATAAGTAGTGTGTAGTGTATTGGGCACGTGTGTTGATGACCGTGGCTGTAACAGATAGGAGCGCCCCACGTGGAGACTCCACCCCCCACCTGGTGACCCGACCCCACCCCTCGTGGTGACTCCACCCCCCCCCCCCCCACGTGGTGACGCCACCCCACGTGGTGACTCCACCCCCCCCACTTGGTGACTCCACCCCACGTGGTGACTCCACCCCCACGTGGTGACTCCACCCCCCCCCACGTGGTGACTCCACCCCCCCCCACTTGGTGACTCCACCCCCCCACGTGGTGACTCCACCCCCCCACGTGGTGACTCCACCCCCTCCACGTGGTGACTCCACCCCTCCTGTGCCCCCGCCCCACGTGGTGACTCCACCCCCCCCCCACATGGTGACTCCACCCCCCCCACTTGATGACTCCACCCCCACGTGGTGACTCCACCCCTCCTGTGCCCCCTCCCACGTGGTGACTCCACCCCCCCCACATGGTGACTCCACCCCACGTGGTGACTCCACCCCATGGTGACCCCACCCCACGTGGTGACTCCACCCCCTCCACGTGGTGACCCCACCCCTCCTGTGTCCTCCCCCACGTGGTGACTCCACCCCCCCACGTGGTGACTCCACCCCCCCCCCACGTGGTGACTCCACCCCCCCCCCATGTGGTGACTCCACCCCCCCCACGTGGTGACTCCACCCCACGTGGTGACTCCACCCCCCCCCCACATGGTGACTCCACCCCCACGTGGTGACTCCACCCCACGTGGTGACTCCACCCCCCCCCATGTGGTGACTCCACCCCCCCTCCACGTGGTGACTCCACCCCCCCCACGTGGTGACTCCACCCCACCACATGGTGACTCCACCCCACCACGTGGTGACTCCACCCCCCCCACGTGGTGACTCCACCCCTCGTGGTGACTCCACCCCCCCCCACGTGGTGACTCCACCCCCCCCCCACGTGGTGACACCACCCCCTCCACGTGGTGACTCCACCCCTCGTGTGCCCACCCCACCCCCCGCAGCCTTCAAGCTGCTGGAGGGGTCGACCCGCCCGCGCCTGCAGGGCGCCGTCTACCTGGTGGGCAACGTCCTGGGCCTGGCCCTGGCCGTCTACAAGTGCCAGGCCATGGGGCTGCTGCCCACCCACGCCTCAGACTGGCTCGCATTCATAGAGCCACAGCAGGTGGGCGGGGGGGAGAGAGACACGGGGGGGAGAGAGACACAGGGGGAGACACGGGGGGGGGGAGAGACACGGGGAGAGAGACACGGGGGGGGGAGAGACACGGGGGGGGGGAGAGACACGGGGGGAGACACGGGGGGAGAGAGACACGGGGGGAGAGAGACACGGGGGGGGAGGGGAGAGACGGGGGGGGGGGGAGAGAGACACGGGGGGGAGAGAGACACGAGGGGGGGAGAGACACGGGGGAGACACGAGAGGGGGAGAGACACGGGGGGGGAGGAGACACGGGGGGGGAGAGAGACACGGGGGGGGGAGAGAGACACGGGGGGAGAGAGACACGGGGGGGGAGAGAGACACGGGGGGGGGGGAGACACGGGGGGGGGAGACAGACACGGGGGGGGGAGAGAGACACGGGGGGGAGAGAGACACGGGGGGGAGAGAGACACGGGGGGGAGGAGACACGGGGGGGGAGAGAGACACGGGGGGGGGAGAGAGACACGGGGGGGAGAGAGACACGGGGGGGAGAGACACGGGGGAGAGAGAGACACGGGGGGGAGAGAGACACGGGGGGGAGAGACACGGGGGGAGGGGAGAGACACGGGGGGGGGGGAGACACGGGGGGGGGAGAGAGACACGGGGGGGGGGGGAGACACGGGGGGGGGGGAGAGAGACACAGGGGGGGAGGAGAGACACGGGGGGAGAGAGACACGGGGGGGGGGGGGGGAGACACGGGGGGGGGGGGGGGGGGGGGAGACACGGGGGGGGGAGAGAGACACGGGGGGGGGGGGAGACACGGGGGGGGAGAGACACGGGGGGGGGGGGAGACACGGGGGGGGGGGGAGACACGGGGGGGAGAGAGACACGGGGGGGGGAGGAGAGACACGGGGGGGGGAGGAGAGACACGGGGGGAGAGACGGGGGGGGGGGGAGAGAAACACGGGGGGGGGAGACACGGGGGGGGGGGGAGAGACACGGGGGGGGGAGAGAGACAGGGGGGGGGGGGAGACACGGGGGGGGGAGAGAGACACGGGGGGGGGGAGAGACACGGGGGGGGGGGAGAGAGACAGCGGGGGGGGGGGGGGGAGACACGGGGGGGAGAGACGGGGGGGGGAGAGAAACACGGGGGGGGGGAGACACGGGGGGGGGGGGAGACACGGGGGGGAGAGAGACACGGGGGGGGGAGAGACACGGGGGGGGGAGAGACACTGGGGGGGGGAGAGACCGGGGGGGGGGGAGACACGGGGGGGGAGAGAGACACGGGGGGGGGGGGGAGAGACACGGGGGGGGGAGAGACACCGGGGGGGGGGGGGAGACACGGGGGGGGGAGACACCGGGGGGGGGGGGAGAGATACACGGGGGGGGGGGGGAGAGAGACGGGGGGGGGGGAGAGACACGGGGGGGGGGGGGAGAGACACGGGGGGGGAAAGAGACACGGGGGGAGAGAGACACGGGGGGAGAGAGACACGGGGGGGGGGGGAGAGACACGGGGGGGGGGGGGGAGAGACACGGGGGGGGGGGGGAGAGGACACGGGGGGGGGGGAGAGACACGGGGGGGGGGGGGAGAGAGACACGGGGGGGGGGGGGGAGAGACACGGGGGGGGGGGAGAGATGGGGGGGGGGGGAGAGAGGACACGGGGGGGGGGGAGAGAGACACGGGGGGGGAGAGAGACACGGGGGGGGGGGGGGGAGAGACACGGGGGGGGGGGGAGAGACACGGGGGGGGAGAGAGACACGGGGGGAGAGAGACACGGGGGGAGAGAGACACGGGGGGGGGGGAGAGACACGGGGGGGGGGAGGAGAGAGGACACGGGGGGGGAGAGAGACCACGGGGGGAGAGGGGGAGAGAGACACGGGGGGGGGGGAGAGACACGGGGGGGGGGGGGGAGAGAGACACGGGGGGGGGGGGGGAGAGAGACACGGGGGGGGGGGGAGGGGAGAGACACGGGGGGGGGAGAGACACGGGGGTGGGGGGGAGAGAGACACGGGGGGGGGGAGAGAACGGGGGGGGGAGAGACACGGGGGGGGGGTGGGAAGAGACACGGGGGGGGGGAGAGACACGGGGGGGGGGAGAGACACGGGGGGGGGGAGAGAGACACGGGGGGGGGGAGAGAGAATGGGGGGGGAAGAGACACGGGGGGGGGGGAGAGAGACACGGGGGGGGGGGGGAGAGAGACACGGGGGGGGGGGAGAGAGACACGGGGGGGGGGAGGAGACACGGGGGGGGGGGGAGACAGGGGGGGGGGGGAGACACGGGGGGGGGGGGAGCGAAGGGAGAAGAGACACGAGGTGGGGGAGGAGAGAGACGCTGATGGTGCCGGTGTCTCCGTGCGGTTGTGCAGAGGTCTGGAGTTCTCCGGCGGCGGAATTCTGCTGTGAGAACTTCTCAGTGTCTCAAGGTATCGAGACAGAGACACCTCCCCCCCCTCGCCGGGGGTCTCAAGACAGAGACACCGATCCCCAGACCCCCCGGGAATCTCAAGACACCGGTTCTGAGCCACCACCCCCAGGGGGCCTCAAACTCTAAGACTCCGATCACCGATGAGACCGGTCGTCTTCAAGACTCCGATCACCGATGAGACCGGCGTCTTCAAGACTCCGATCCCGATGAGACCGGGTCTTCAAGACTCCGATCCCGATGAGACCGGCGTCTTGAAGACTCCGATCCCGATGAGACCGGCGTACTTCAAGACTCGATCACCGATGAGACCGGCGTCTTCAAGACTCCGATCACCGATGAGACCGGCGTCTTCACGACTGCGATCCCGATGAGACCGGCGTCTTCAAGACTCCGATCCCGATGAGGACCGGCGTCTTTGAAGACTCCGATCACCGATGAGACCGGCGTCTTGAAGACTCCGATCACGATGATACCGGCGTCTTCAAGACTCCGATCACCGATGAAGACCGGCGTCTTGAAGACTCCGATCACCGATGAGGACCGCGTCTTGAAGACTCCGATCCCTCAAGGACGCCCCACCCCCCCCCCTCCCCAGCGTGTGAAAAAAATAAACGACCACATTCCACGTGATTAAATTGCTCCCAAGCCTACGATTCTGCGGTTTGCCCCGTGAACCATCCCGGGCAAAGCGCGTGCCTGTTTGATGGGCGAGCCTGTGTTGTCCGTGGTGCGTCAGTAAAGTATCTTCGAAAGTACTCCGCGTCTCTCTCTCTCTCGTGCGTTTGGAGGAGGAGGAGGGATGCTGCCTATGACCCCAAGAACACCATCCCCACCCGTCAAGACATGGGAGGTGGACACATTATGCTTTGGGGGTGTTTTTCTGCTAAGGGGACAGGACAACTTCACCGCATCGAAGGGACGATGGACGGGGGCCATGTTACCGTCAAATGTTTTGGGTTGAGAACCTCCTTCCCTCAGCCGGGGCATTGAAAATGGGTCCGTGGATGGGTATTCCAGCATGACGATGACCCAAAAACACACGGCCAAGGCAACAAAGGAGTGGCTCAAGAAGAAGCACATTAAGGTCCTGGAGTGGGCCTAGCATAGTCTCCAGACCTTAATCCCATAGAAACATCTGTGGAGGGAGCCTAAGGTTCGAGTTTCCAAACGTCAGCCTTCGAAACCTTAATGACTTTGGGAGAAGATCTGCAAAGAGGAGTGGGACAAAATCCCTCCTGAGATGTGTGCAAACCTGGTGGCCAACTACAAGGAACGTTCTGACCTCTGTGATTGCCAACAAGGGTTTTGCCACCAAGTACTAAGTCATGTTTTGCAGAGGGGGTCAAATACTTATTTCCCTCATTAAAATGCAAATCAATTTATAACATTTTGACATGCGTTTTTTCTGGATTTTCTTGTTGTATTCTGTCTCTCACTGTTCGAAATAAACCTACCATTAAAATTACAGACTGATCATTTCGTTTGTCAGTGGGCAAACCGTACATAATCAGCAGGGGATCACAAATACTTTTTTTTCCCCTCGCTGTACATTAAGAGAACGTAACGTTTTAACGTGTTATTTACTTGTGTTATGTACGTGTGTGTTGTTTACGTGTTTTGTTTACGTGCTATTTAAGTGTGTAAATTACCCGTGTTATTTACGCGCATTTGTTTAAGCGCATTATCACCGCTCGAAAGGTTTGGGGGAAAGACGTTCACCACACATTTTAACCGGCGATGGCTACTCGAGTTAAGGCGAACGAATGTTTATAGAGCCCTCGACGGGCGAGAGGACAACATCGACCACGTGACTGTCACCCCCTCCACCACCCCCCCCCACCCACCGCCTAGTGAACAACGTGGGATCTTTCGCAAAGGGGACACGCAAACGCGACGTTTCGGCCCACGGGGCCTTCTTCAGGACACCTGGCCAAGGCCTCGAGTGAGTTAGCTGGTGTGGTGCGTGGTGTGTGCGTGCGTTGTGCAAGTAGTGAACATCGCCACTGGGTCGGAGGGACAAAGGCGGCCCGGGCGTGGCGGTGCTGGTGACCCACCCCCTCGTGTGCTGTGCCGGCCTTAATAGGTGCTCGCTAACAGCACTTGCCCCTACAGTCTGTTAAGGCTATATGGGGGGTCTTTGTGTGTATATGAGTGTGTGTGTCTCTGTGAGTGTGTGTGTATATTGTGAATGTGTGTATATGTGAGTGTGTGTATATGTGAGTGTGTGTGTGTAAATGTGAGTGTGTATATGTGATGTGAGCGGTAGTGTAGCGGTTAGCGCTACGCTGCGCTATGAACCATGGCAACACGGGTTCGATTCCCTGCTCACGACCAACACCAGGGACGATATCCTGATCCGGTCCCGGGCCTCTCCTAGGTCGATACTTAGCCTCAAATGAGTACCTGTGCGGTGTGTAAACATCACCACTGGGGAGACAAAGGCGGTCGGGCGTGGTGCTGCCCACCCACCCCCTCGTGTACCGTTCCGGCCTTCATAGGTGCTTGCTAACAGCACTTGCCCTACAGTCTGTTAAGGATACACGGGGGATCTTTGTATATGTGAGCGAGTGTGTGTATGTGAGCGAGTGTGTTTGAGTGTATATGTG